TACCTTAATATTGCACCCTCTTTGCTAGGGTTATTCCTTAACAGTCTTGCTATTACTACATGAAACTATACAAACTATTTACATATATATTTTTTTCATTTTAGTGTATGTTGTTTCTCTATGTCAATAAAACATCAAATAGCCAATAACTTAATCCATTGTCCTTGAGTTAAGTCCAACTCAGGGCAGCTCCATGTGTGTCTGTGTAGAACTGCACTCCTTCCGGATTTCCACAGCTGTAATAAGGAGCCCTGCAGACACAGGGTCAAGTGCATGGCTGCTAACTGAAAGGTAGGCCACTGGCACCCACCAGCTGCTTGTCGGAGCTTTGTAAGCTGGGCTGTGATCTGCCCCGGTCAAGCTGACAGCTTACAAACTCAGTTCTCCTCTGCCACGGAGTCTGAGTCAGAATCGATTCCTCACCCCGAAGGACAACAATCTGATGCGAGGAGTGGCCAGACCTTTCTTCCTCAGCACCACTGAGTGGATTCTAACCACCAGCCCTTGGTGAGTAGTTGAGAGCCAACCATTACCGAGGGGAAACTATAAAACTTTACAAAGAACATTGTACTCATATGTTAGCTTACATTTGTCATGATAGCTTTATATTGGAGAGCCAAACTTAGCTCTTTGTGAGCCATAGGCTCTCTATAGTAAGACCTGACTTTCCCCAATATCTAGTTAGGGCATGTTAGCTTGATGCTCACTTTCTGCAGGTCTCCCCCCACTATCTGAAAATAAACCATCTCTATGAAGTCTTTTTGTTAGAAAATTTATTGACATATAATTTACATACCATACAATTCATGGTTTAAATGTATTGAAAAGAGTTGTGAGATTTTCCACCTAATCAATTTTAGAACACTTTCTTCCTTCTTTTACCCATTATTATTAGCTCCCTATTAGCCCCCAACTTCCCCTGCAAGAACTATTAATCTACTTACTGTATCTCTGTATTACCTATCCTAGATTTCATATAAAGCAATATGAAACAATAAACAGGAAAACCTCAATCCCAAAGAAAGCAAAATATTATAGAAACTAGAACAGATTCAAAATGGGTCAAAAGGGAACCAAAATGATAATACATTAAATTTGAATATGACTAACTCTACAGGGGAGCCCTGGTGGTGTAGTAGTTAGTCGTTGGGCTACTAACCTCAAAGTTAGCAGTTTGAAACCACCAAGGCTACATGGGAGAAAGATGAGGCTCTCTACTCCTATAAAGAGTTGCAGTCTCTGAAACCCACAGGGCCAATTCTACCCTGTCCTACAGGGCCACCATAAATCAGAATGGACTCAATGGCAATACGTTTTTTTGGTTTGGTTTTGTTTTAATCTGCAGCAATCCACTTTCCAATGTACTGTTTGAGGGCAAAACGATTCCCATCCGTAATCAATAGTCCGTGGGGACTCTACAAATTGATTTGGGACCTTCACTGTCACCCATTGCCTTCTGCAAAGCAGGGCCTCAGAATTTAAGCTGTGGTACATGTCTTTCCTCTGATCTTGAATGGTGTTATTTACAATCTTCGGAGCATACACGCCGGCGTGCGCCTTCCATGTAGACTTGCTGACCTCCCACTTCAATGGCTGCCGGTTTTAAGAGAAGCCGTTAAGAACCCAGACGCTATTCTTTGGGGTAGCAGGGCATCATCCGGTTTCTTCCTCCCACTTTGCTCTAGCATCTATGAAGCCTCTTGTAAACAGAAATGGAGTCAAGCAAAGAAGCAATTAGCATTAATTCATATGGGAAACTTTGCTGAGCATTCCCCGACACACACCCTCCCCAAAAACCTACCAAATCATACATAAAACCTCAACTCCTACTAGTGTTGAGTGTTCGTGGACACAGGTCAAAGCTGTAGCGGCTTGATGCTGAGACCCTGGAGACGAGGATCGGCTCCCCACGCGCACTGCTCCCCGGGAGGCTGCCTCAGTAACAGCGCCTGCAGAGCAAACCCTGCACGCTCCTTTCGCTTTTCACCTTCTTTTAGTAAAAGCTGAAATCCTCTTCGGCTTGCTTCCAGTAGGCAAACACTGTTACTAATGCAGTCCTTTCGTAAAGGCGAAGTGGTGCAAATAGAACGTGCAGAAAGCAGGGGTACCTACACGAGAAAAATACAATAGCATTAAAGCTCTCCATTGTAGGGGGTAATCAGAATGGGGTTTGCAATTTTTACATGGCTCTCGTCTGGGCTTTTGTTGTACGTGCTTCTGGGTGGACTTTTCAGCGCTCAGAGGAAGGAGAGGAAAGGTGACCCTATTCTTTCGTATAAACATGATACCAGCCTCTGTGCTTGCGATGTTTGCCGGCTCTTTTGTATCGTTTACTTTGGGAGCCTCATTTTCCGAGTGCAGTATTTTCTAAGATTGAAGAGCAGAATGTAATAACGTGGAAGACTGGGAAAAAGCTCGGAGTAGGGAAATGCACCGGGCACATGGCTACCCAGCAGCATCCAGCACTCTCGTGGACTGTGTCGTTGCCTAACGAGATATTTGGCTCCGTTTCAATAACGGAGAACATATTCAACCACTCTGTTCATTCAGAAGACTAAATGCGCCGTCTTGCTGGAACATGTCTCAAAGCAAGTATAGGAAGCAGCGCATCCTTCAGAAGATGAACGCCGAGTTGAGAATGACGTGAGGATGCGATGGCTTTGGGAAGACTTGATCTCGCGATTTTAATCACTGAGCTGCTCGCCTCGAGGGCTGCAGCTCAAATCCACCAGCTTCTCTGGGCCAGAGAGAGGAGGCTGTCTGCTCCCATAAAAATGCAGTCTCGGAAACCCCATGGGGCAATTCTACTCACTCCTCTAGGGACTCTGTGGCTCAACAGGAAGTCCAGGGCTGCGGATCTGGCGGCACACAGGTTAATACCCAGTTGCTAAGCCAGAGGTCAGTTGTTCAAACCCACCAGCTGCTCTGCAGAGAGAGAAATGGCAGTCGGCTTCCATAAAGATGGCTGACTTAGAAACCTTGTCGGACAATTCTCGGATGTCTTGTAGGGTTGCTTTGATTTGGAATTGACTGAGGGCAATGGATTTGGGGTTTTGTTCATTTGGTTTCTGATACCAGAACATCCATCTCTGCATTTACTTCACAGAATGGCAACGCCACTCTCTAATAAGTAGTCTTGAACAGATAGTACCTGGGAATATCATCCATTGTGGTAAAAATATAAAGTTTAAATCATTTGGCTCTGCATGGTGGATTGTTGGACAGTTGTAAAAGTGATCACGAAGCTTCGATTTATTCACTTCAAATTTTTTACTTTTAAAATGCATCTAGATTGGGAATGAATGTGTGTTCCTAATATTTATGGACTACGTAGGTAGCATTTGTAGCATCGGCACCTAAAAAGTCTATATCCATTTTATTTTACATGAAAACCATCCAGACTTCAACTCAATGCCATTTCTCATCTTTGAAAAATTGTCATTTCTATTCCAAATACTTACATTAATACTTTAATAAACAATTTGTTTTTCAGTGTTATATTGGGAGATCATTTAAGCAGCTAATGAAATGATAGACTGGTTAATTTCCTCTTGAATTATGTAAGAAAGAAGACATTATTTCAGAAATTTAATAAAATTCCTTTTGGGGGAGGGGATCGATATTGCACACTGGGGTGCAAATACCTGAACCAAGATGACAGGAGTCCTGATGCTCGCTAGTTCTGCAAGCTTGGTAAGATTACTTAATCTTCCTATGCCTCGATTCCACTCCTCATCTGTTGGTTTGTCAGCCTGTGGGCATGTGCTGCTGGAAGTGCCCCCACATACACTGGTATTTCAGGTACCAGCAGAACCCCCATGGGTGGACAAGTTTCAGTGGAGCTAGGAAGGACCTGGTCATCTACTTCTGAAATAAATGAAGCAAAATACTGTATATTTTGAATAAAGCTACTACCAACGAGTTCTTTAAAATGTAAAAAAGCAAGGATGTCACTTTGAGGGGTAAGGTGCACCAAACCCAAGCCATGCTATTTTTAATTGCCTCATACACATATTCAAGTTGAACAATGGATAAGGAAGACAAAGAAGAATGGATGTATTTGTTAGCTGAGAATAGTAAATATGTGTACCAGGAACTGTCAAAATATGCACAAATCTGGCTTGGAAGAAGGATCCGCAGAAAGCTTCTTAGAAACTAAGATGGCTAGACTTCATCTCATGTATCTGAACATGCTGTCGGGAGAGACCAGACCCTGGAAAAGGACATCATGCTCGGTGAAGTGGGTGACCCTCAGCCAGATGATTGACACGGCGGCTACAATGGCCTCCAACACGGCAGTGCTGGTGAGGGCGGCCGGCCCAGGTGGTCCTCCTGTTGTACCTCGAGTCTCTGTGACTCGGAACTGATTCGAGGGCACCCAGCAACATGCCTTGATGATTTCTTCTGCAAAATGGAACTCGTATTAATACCCGATACAGGATTTTTGTGTGATAAATTAATACAAATATTTAGAACAGACCTTAGTATAAGCCGCGCTCACTACTGTTCATATGTGTCAGCAGACAAAAACCCATTCTGGTCTCATGATTCAGATTCCTTTGCGGATGTGAGGTATGCCCTTGCTGTGCGTGTTAACAATGCTGTAAGGACCAATGGCATTGACCAGAAAGAAAAACAACACAGTTCTTTCAAAATCTCAGGGAATGTTGCCGTTTACTTTTGCAATGTTCACTGCGCATCTGGCCTTCGGGATTTTCCTTACTGAGCGTCCGCTAACCATGGCCCATGTAATTGAGTAGTTTACACAAGTGGTAAAAGTTCTATAAATCACCCAAAGTGCTTTTTCCATCCGAGAGCCGCATTCGTCTCTTCTCCTAGAGTCACACTTCTGGGGACTCACTGCCTCCAGGAGGAAGCACAGTTGGTTCGCGTTCCTAAGTCCACCCGCTCCTCGGGGAAGAGCAGCAGCAGGCAGGCAGGTTCAGTGCTCGGCCAATGTCACCGATCAACGTCAACTTCTCCTCTGGTTTGCTTTGCAGCTGGCGGTCCCCCACAACGATGAGTGGACCCGATTCGCCAGGACCCTCGTGGAGATTCGCGCCAACAGGGCAGATAGCGAGGAGGAAGGCGCCGTTGAACTAGCGGCCTAGTGGCAACCGGCCACACCCCAGCCCCCCACGTTCCGAGTCCACAGTTCTCATTCCACTTGTGCTCCGTGTCCGTTCGGTATCAGTATTGCTGTGACATTGTGGGTGCCCTATCGCGCCAGCTTCACTCCACGTGTTCCAAATGTACCCCGCTGCGCTCGCCACCTGAAACTCACCGGAGCATGTCTGCCCATCTTTTCGGTCTCAAAATGAAGGGGAGAGAATAACAAACCCAAACCCTTTATGGCTTTAGTTGTTGCCTTTTAACTACTTAGTAGCTGTATTTAATAGCTGGAAACCTCTGGTTAACTGTGTGTTTACAGGTACTTACGGCCTAGTCCTATTAAATCCATATGAAGCCAGATATGATTAGGTACAGATGTGGTGTGCTTCATGACATGGGACAGGGCCAAAGACTTGGGATGTGGCGTTTCACATGGCGAGTCACATTATGAATGGATTTACTATGAGAACATTGCTGCTCCTTATTTATTGTGGTGTGCTGCATGGAATGTATTTATTTGAAAGCATTAAAATAAACGATCCTAGAGCATGTGCGTAATGAGAGGACTGCCTTGTCTCTCTGCCGCTGTTGAGGCTGGTGAGGCTACATTAAGTTCCAAATAACAATTACAGTATGCCAATTCCACCGAGGACATGAAATCTTTAAAGGTTTGTTCCAGTGAACGGAATGATTTTAATGCCTATTATTTCTAGGTACTCTGACAGTATTTCAAATATAGTTGACCATTGATACTTGTCGTTCGAGCGGATACAGTCCGACACAAATCTGTGGTTCCTAAACATGACACTAGTATTGCCAATGAAATGTTCCAAACCTGGTCTGAATCAGTGTGGGTAAATCTTTGTTGCTTGCGGAAAGCCTGACTCGACTCAGAATCCCACTAGGAGCAGGGTTGGGAAGATTCTAACCGTGTTAAACAACAACTGTTCCTGTCAGGCCTGCTCTACTTCACAGAGACCTTCCGTAAGCTCACAGGGCGCTGTGCTGCCTAGGGCTTCCAATGAAAGGAGATGACCAAGGCCTTCCTCCAAGTCTTCCCTGGGTGGATTCAAACCACCAACCTCTGGTTAACCGAACATAATAATCATCAGCACCACTCAGGGATCCCTGATGGTGTGGTGCTTACACATTGGGCTGCTAACTGCAAGACCAGCCATCCCAAACCACCAGCCACTCTGCATAAGAAAGATGAGGCTCTCTAGCCGGTAAAGAAGTTAGAGTGTTGGAAACCCACAGGGGCATTTTACCTGTCCTATAGGATCCCTATGAGTCACAATTGATTTGATTGAAGTGAGTTTTTGAGTGATGGGTCCTACAGCAGTGTTGAAGATTGTTGATGAGCTAACGGGCATCCCACCTGGCTAGACTTAAATCATGACCCCAAGCTTTGTTTTTATTAAGAAGCATATGTGGTTCTTTGGAAAGCTCCCTCTTGTCTCTTTCAGAGCCATTGTTGCTCAAAGACGATCTCAAACATTAGAGTAAGGAAATTGTTTAAGATGAACCAACACCAAATGTCCTATACATGTCATCTCTTTACTCACACCAGAAAAATGCTGTTAATTACTATTGGATTAAAAATATGGCTATAAGCCATACTACTCATTTTTTAAAAAAAGAGATCATTTCATGCCTAAAGAGGATTAAATTAAGTAGTGGTTGAATCATGAAAAATATTTGAAGGCATCTTTTTGGCTTTTTAGGAAGGGAATTTCAATATTGATGCTCTGTGGAGAGGGATGTCCTTGAATTCTGAGATTCCTTTTGTTTTAAAAATAGTGGTATACTTTCTGCCCTCGAGTACCTAATATTGAAATTCTTTGTAAATAGAAATTAGAAATTTTAGACAAAAAGAAAAGTAAATGTCTGGAACAGGTTTAAACACATATTTGTGTTCCACAGGCACACCCAGATTTTACATATACATATATATATGGCCAAGCTTATTAAAATTTTAAAATGAGCCTGAGATAATCGTGAGCATCTCTAGGAAGTCTTGTGGCTTCCTCTGCAAGCCAGGATGATAAGGAGGGCGGTCACAGAGCTGTGCTTATTGATATTCGTGGGATGATCAGCCCCCAGAGTGATAGTGGGTAGGTGGCGTCACTTAAATGCCAGCCAGCCACAATTACTACAACAGTCAACTAGATCAGAAGGACTGCTCAGCATCTACACCCCAAACATCAAGGCAGGAGAACAACGAGAGTGACCCAATAGAGAGCCACAAACTGACCACAAGGTTGGATATATAACACACACATACTCTGAGGGGGATGAATAATAGAAATGCGGGTGAAGGGAGACAATGAACAGTGTAAGATACAAAATAACAACTGATGCCGCAGTTTCTTGAGCAGGGAGAATGAACCAAACGGACATACACACACACATGGAACCAAATGGACAGACACACACACACACAGAGACAATACAGGGCTGCAGTTTTGTACTGTCTCTGTCTGTGTGTAATTTGTGCTGCAGCCCTGCATTGTCTCTGTGTGTGTGTATGTCCGTTTGGTTCCATGTTCACTCTCCCTGCTCAAGAAACCGCCAGCATCAAACAACTGTAATATATCATTGATCAAGGATCCCCGAGGGTGGGAGGGTGGAGGAAGAAGGGGGCAAAAGAGGAGCTGATACCAAGGGCTCAAGTAAAAAGAACATGTTTTGGAAAGGATGATGGCAACATACGTACAAGTGTGCTTTGATACAACTGAATTATGGATTGTTATAAGATCTGTAAGAGCCCCCAATTAAATGATTAATTAAAAAAGACATAAAACCTTCAAAAATAATCATCATAATAAAATAAAGAGCCACAGTCCTTTGCTCGGTGCTCACACGTAAGGAACTCATTGAAGAGTCCACGGGAGGAGGGGGAACATGGCACACAGATATTGTGATGCGGTCCTCCATCCTTCCTCCACAGAACTCACGCTCGTTCATCCAGGTGAACACACAGTGTCTAATATGGGAGACTCCAAATCTTTGAGGACTATAGGAAACGGGTTCTGAGTTCCCCTAATGGAAACCTAAAGCTACAACGCAGTCTGCCTTGTTAAGAGTGGGTCTTATGGTAATCTTGGGTTTGTTGGAATCATGGGTTCACACAATGGTCATTTCTCCGATCTCTGGGTTTTCAATTAGAATTGATATACTTACCATTGGTTCTCTGGACTGTACAATAAGAGCTGTACTAGCTGGGAAAGCCAAGTAGAAATCTCTTCATTACAAAGAACTGCCTTAGCAGAAATAGGACAGGTGGTCCTCAAAGACAAATTTATTCTATCACAGTTTCAGAGACTAGGAGCCTGGATTTAGAGTACCAACTAAATTCCACTTTGGAGGGAAATCCTTGTCTCAGTGTTTCATGTTCGCCTTGTCATTCCTCCGTCGTTCCTTGGTGATCTACAGAGGGGATTCATCTTTCCTCCACGTGCGCATTTTTGCTTCTGTGCCTAAGTTAGTCATTTTAATAGCTTAAAGTGATTAGACTTCAGACATGCATTATGAACTTATCAACAGAACAAAGAAAACCCTAATCCAAAATGGTATTAAACCCACAGGCAGAGGGGACATGGTATTAAAACCACATATTTGGCAGGGGGGACATAATTCAACCCATAACACTGCTCCACTCCCCCTTTGCCAAGATAGTACCGTATATACTCACATATAAGCCGAGTTTTTCAGCACATTTTTTAATGCAGCTTTTGTGGTGAAGTCTGGTGCCTCAGCTGATATTCAGGTCGGGTAATACTCGAGTATGTTCAGTAAATCAAGCTAGGTAAGGCTTGAGGATGGCAGAGATTGGCGCCACCATTATAAACCTAGACGATGCACAATGGTGGTCTGTAGAATACCTTCATCTCATAAACCAATCTGTCCCCTTTATAAATGAGATGGATCTTGGAGAACAATGGAAGAGATTGCAAATGCAGCCACCAGGAGCTCTAATTACAGCTGCTGTATCAAGAGGTAGGGACACATTCATAAAGCATCAGTTATTTGATTGAACCATTGATTCAATAACTGTATCATCTTCCATTCCACACTGTATATAAGAATATCAAAGACTCTGGGAACATAATACCTATTTACAGTTTTGTCTCAGGGCTATCTTGTGCTCCATCATGCTCCAAAGAGGCCTGGACTTCCAGAGCATCCCAAAATATCATTTTTTATAAGATCATCCCCTACCATGCAGGGAATACAACAACCTACCAAGTGTTAGGTCTCTAAGGATTCCTGAAAGCAGTGTATTCCACATCTAGGAGTACTGCTCTGGTCCATATAGCACAAATCTCGTATACAGTCTGCAAGACTTAGTGGGGCCCAGAATGGGAGAATTTTGCAGCAGGTTCAATTTATAGTACAAGAGATTCTTCTCCTTGTACCATACAACCAGCAGGTGCTATGGTGTTGAAGGTATCGAGAGTGGGAAAACATATGGTATAGTTAATTACAATACTGGCCCATAGAATTCTGGAGGGAGGTCACACTACTGATAGGAAAGAACTGTGTGAAAGGACTTTTTGAGAAAGGACTCTGGCATGTTACTAGGTCCTTGTAAAGAAGGAGCACTTTATCATGGACTATGATGTGATCATGCATCCATAGGGCCCATTATGTATTGGTTGGGCCCACTAAGTCGTAATATTGGAAAGACTCAGATAACTCATTAAATGGAAACTGTATCTCTGGATTTGAGCCTGACCAGGGTCACTGGGAACAAGTGAGTTGCATGATCAGGTAATGCAGAAGATGCATGCC